AAGTGCCTGGACAGACCAAATATAAATAAGAATTTGCAGAAAGAACGTTTAATTTTCCTGACATTAGAAATCTGTTCTGACTTGCTTAGTAACAAAGCTGACACATAAGGAAACTACCAGCAGCTTTGACCACTATTTTATTTCCATGCTCAGTTCTTATGGGGGGGAGGAAAAAAAATCCTTGCATATCAATAACTTCTATTTATTCCAGCATAAACTTTCACCAATAACGAATGGGGCAGTTCTGCCTTTCCAAACCCAGTTCCTTCACTCTCAACTCCAGTGGCCCCCGGAAAAACAGCAATGGATTTGCAGCCCAACTAGTTTTTCATTACTGCCTTGGTATACAATCATTAGCACTGAAGGGAGGATGAAAGGTGTAGGACTGACATCCTCAGCACATATCACCTGCCTGGGCTGTCAGACAGCAGTGCCAGTGGGACCTCAGCACTGCTGGGGCTGTCAGCCAGCCCAGATTCCTGCTTCCACTGTGAGACAAGGAGCACCACTGCTTTTCTCCTCCATGACTCCCAGCACAGACAGCACCACACTAAATGTGACCCAGTCAAACTAATCTAGTTCCTACAATTCAGCCTAACCATAAATTTTGACCACTGGCTCAAACAATTGTCTTGGTCTCTTGAAAGGGGAGCAAGTCCATTCTCCATTAAGTCGGGAATTGCAGTTTAGCAACAATCTGAAGGCTCTTGAATAACAGAATCCTAAGCATCTGCATAGTTCTTTACAATCTCACTGTGATATCCAGGGGTCTTAGTGGGCCACATGCATGCTGGTTTCCTCACAGCACATAGGCTAGGTATGCATGCATAACTGCTACTACTTTCCAGCTCATCAGAAGCTGCAATTAAATAAAATCTCTCAAAAACAGAAAATATATGGCATGAGTCAATGAATTTCTCAGATATGAAGTGATTTAGGCACTGTAAACACTTTTGCTGCATTACTTCAGGCTCCTCAGAGGCATTTTATCTCACTTCATCTCAATTAACCTCCCAAGAAAACAATTCACATCTGAAGAAGAGAGAGGCGAAAAAGACATTACTGACAATACACAAAAGCCTACTCTGATGTCATAATGCTGCATTAATTGAGTCATAGGCAGATTTCCTGGAATTCAGGTTTGAAGCAGGAAAGCAGGAGATACTGACAGAAGAGCAGCTATGTGCTGAATCACAGGAGAAGTTATTTCATATGTCAATGAAGTTATTACTGCTAAAAGTTAAGATTCCCCAACTGCACTGTAACACATTATTCAGCTTCAAAATGTTCCCCATCTCTCAATTTTGCACATAATGTAAATGAATACTACAGTAATTCTAACTCTCTCACAGTATCTTTTATGTCACAATATGGTTTTCTATCTCCTTACTTCCAGACAAGACAACTTACTGTATACTCCTACCTGCAACTACCCGTTCTGATATTGTTGTTCCAGCACCACCTTTTCATAGCAGCACTGACAGAAATAACCATCAGTATTTGCTACATTAATTTAAGACACTTTTTTCATTATGCTACACTGCATTCCACACAAGAAATGTTTATCAAATCCTACCTCCCACCCCTCTCCACAAGTTGCAGTCCCCATCAGAGCTGTGTGAGCCCCTCTAGTCCCACGGTCTAATGCTATCTGGAAACCTTGAGTTGTTTAAACATTTCTATACTCTCTGTGCTTTTCAATCCTATTCTGCATTTTAACATTCAATCTGAAGAAAAGATTGGTGTGGTGAGGAGAATTGTGAAGAGGTTGCTGAAATCATAAATGCTCTGGAAGTATCCAACCAGGACAGTTGTATTGGTAGTCTTGGCACATCTTTCCCCTGCAGCTCTAGTGTTCCTCTCTGTGCTGCTCCCTCCTTTACAGGGACCATCTACTGAGATCCAAGCAATCCCACTCCTATTTGCTAGTGCTGCTCTATCAACCTTCTCATATATCCTCCCAATTCCCTATCAGCCTTCCTCCTGTTGCCAGTCTGGTCTCTCACATTCCAAGAATGGCTCTGCCACTTCTTTCCAGTACTGCACTCTCTCTAAGCACTACACCAGGAGTTCAAGGATTGGCAGTACCAACCAGGGGGACCAGACATGGGCTAATGTTTCCACTGCCTACCTTGGCTATTGATAAATTCCAGCCTACACCAGCACTTAGGGAGCTCTAACACAGCATACAATACAGTCTAGGCAGAAATTTAACTCTCATTTTATTAGAAATAACTCATTAAGTCGTAGAAAGAAGAAATATAAAGGATATTGGAAAGAAAAACTTGTCTGCATGGGATTTGACAAGAGTCCCCTTAAACAAATAAAAGTAACTCTACATGACCTGTGTCATAGAGCTTACACAAATCTCAGGGGAATCTTTTTCACTTCTGACAAGCAATCTCCCACCTTTTGAAACTGTCCACAGTTGGTGACAATTTATTCTTTGGTCTCGATGTAAATCAAGTACAAATGGTTTCCCTCACACCTTAGGGTCACATGGTTTCCAAGTTTTAACATTAATGATGTCCCAGCAGACTACAAAAGCAAAAGTGGGAGTTGCATTAACTCATAAATGAAGAATACAATCAACAGTAGAAAAGATGTTCTTACTACATCAAATTTTTGAGTGTAAAATTATACTGGAATGTGTAACCATAGTTGATTTTTAAACAAGTTAAAAAGCACAGTTTTATAGCATCATAATAAAGAAGTTGAATTCAGATAATGCAGACTTTTCTCTAACTGTCAACAGATGAAATTCACTGTATTGGCAAGAACACTTCACTTGGTAAAGGCCACTTACATTGGATTTCATTGAGCATCAGCTGTACCTTTGAAGATTTTAACCCTGGGAAAAAAATTCCTTTTAAAGCACCTGCACAACCCATTGGTATGATGGACACAATTCCTACCCTCCCACTACCAGCATTCATTGGTTTTGTCACTGTAATTCTGTGAGGGACTAGAGACAGTCTCATCCAGGTAGCTGTGCAATAACGAGGAACAAATTCCTGCTCTTCCAAGAGCACCCAGTTAATACTGCTCAGTTAATCTGTATCTCCCCAAGATATTATCAGTTTTCATGCACAGAGGATTTAATTAGTCCCCCGCTCTAAAAGCCAGCCCCGTGTGTCACTTCAAAGACCCATCTATTACAGAACGGAATGACAGGAAGAATTACGAGTTCTCGTTATGAAGCCCGTTGTGAGCAATCGAATTATCGAACTCTTAGCCAACATGAACTTTCAACTGCTTCTTGTTGCTTCGAGAGCCCAAAGCGCCATCTCCTGCTGAGCGTCTGGAACCACAAGTACCGATTTCGGCAGCCCGTGAACTGCTGCAGGGACAGCGCTGCACACACTCAAATCCGTCTGGTTGGGTACCAACAAACAAACAGGTTTTCTCACTGAACGGCTCGGTCTGGCACAGCTGCCAGAAGCGCTGCTCTTCGAGAGGAGCAGTCACATGAACAGCTGGAGCACAGCTGCCCAGGGGCACACATCAAGAACAGACATAGAGCATGTTTTGCCCAGATTTCGGCAAGCAGCCAAGTAGCACTTTGTGCATTTTTGCAGCAGGTTTCATATTTTGTATTGAAATCTCACCTCAAGCCTATTGTCACAGTTCCCAGCAGGAAAACAAGTGACACCCAGTGGGCCCAAAACTGAAGATAAACAGACCTTGATAAAATTACTTCATAGACCTCACACACATACAAATTTTTTTTAAATCACTCATTTTATTCATGTAAAACTAAACATCCTTAAATGAAAACCAGCATAGAGTCATAGAATCATTTAGGTTGGAAAAGAGTTCTAAGATCATTGAGTCCAACCAATGGATCGATATAATTATCATACAAATATCAAATACAAAGCTCAGGAGCATAGAACACTAACAGCTGGTCCCCAGAATTGGAGAACATAACAGCATTGACATTCCTTTCATCACCAGTGAACTTGCTGCCAATTCAAACACTGGGTCCTCTGGTTCAAGTCACTTCTGCAATAAAAGAAGTAATTTTGGAGGGCACTTTCATGCTACAGAATGTTTACAGCCTTTACCCTCAGAAAAAATAAAAATCTCAAAAAGGGTAACCTGCAAATGACATAAAAAATTAATTTTCACACTATTGTTCCTTCATTTCTGTTTTAAAACTGAGAGTTAAAGCTGACATTCTGATCCTGGGATGAGCGCACACAGGTGTAGTATTACTTTTCTGGAAAAGCTTA